TTTTTTTTTTTTTTTTTTACTGCACATTTATGCTTGAAAAAGAAATAATTATTGGTTCTAATAATAATTGAAAAGGGTTGCTCTGATTAAGAACAAGCAAAAATTTGATGAATTTCTGATCAAGATAAGTGAGAAATTCTTCAAAAAATACTTAAATAAAAAAAAATGGGTGGGGGTGAGGTCTTTATTTCCTTAAAACAAAAAAAAATTAACTTCATAGTATTTTTAAAGTGATTTTTTTTTTACTGAACATTTACACTTGAAAATGAAATAATTAATTTGGTACTTATAATAATTGAAAAAGGAATGTTGGTTAAAATCAATCAAATATTTGATGAAGTTCTGATAGAGATAAGTGTTAAATTCTTCAGATATGCTTAAATAAAAAATGGGTGTTGAGTATCTCTTGCAGTAGCTGTTAGTAGCAAAATGCTAAATGAATAAGTATGAAAATACCAATTTTCAGTCAATTTATTGATGGAATGTGTGAGTAAAATTGTTAAAAATAATTAAAAAAAAAAAAAGTAAAAAGGTGAGTGTCAAGTTAGCCCAGCAGTAGTGATCACAAGCAGCCACCATTGGCTACCTGATGTGATCTGAGGTTTATACCTAAGCTGCTTTAGGCTCAGTAGGCTGATACCACTGAGCTATGGCTCACCCTGGAAAATACTGCTGATATCAAGTATCATCAATCTACTGACTTGTGGTGCAATACAATGAGGAAGTGATGTCATTTAGATTGTTAATTTGTCCAGTGGCCACTAGATGTCACCACATGTGGGGTGTTGTAGTTTGACTTGTCTCCACCAGACGTCAGCAGTGTACAGCACTTCTTGGATTTCACAACACAGTCAGTATATTGATATAGATAAAACATTGCAATAGTTATTGAAGGTGAGCCGTGGTCTAGTGGAATAACCACTGAGACTAAAGCATTGGACTGCTCCCCATACAAGCCCTAACACTAGGGTGGGGAAATCTGCTGGACTGACTTGACACTCACCTTTTTTTTAATCTCAAAACTGACATCTTTAATTAAAATGATTTTAGTTGGAAAGAATATTGGATCACTTTGAAAATTAAAAAAATAATTAAGTTTTTTTGCACATCATATTGACTTATATGCAAACTATATATTGTAAAACTATTTCAGTGCCCAAGAAGACCATGAGTCAGAACGGATAGCAAGGGAGCAGAAGATCCGGGGTCTCGAAGAGGAGCTGAACGGCTGCCAGGGGAGGAGGAAGACCACAGAACACGAGGTGGAACAGTTCAGGGCGGCTGTCACCAAGTATAAAGAGGAAGGGTACAGACTCAGGTAAAATAAAAACCAAGTTCTCAGTTCTGAGGTGAATTTGCATTTGAAAGGGTCAAATATTTTGACCCACTGCAAAGCTTGCCGTCTAATCCGCCAATAGACGTTGACTAGATATCCCGTTGGGGGAAGTATTCAAGTGGGTCGGCCATATTTGACCCAGGGACTAGTTAGTCCCCTATTCTGAATTGGGCCTAAGATTATAACAGTTAAATGTGTTATTTGCTCACATAAACTATCAAGTGTATGGTATAATAATAATAATAATAATTATAAAAATTATATAAGCTATGTTCACAAGGAAAGAAATGTATTTGGCTTAGTTATCTTTTGTTTGATCTTGATGTTTTAGATTTCTTCACCAGAATCCATTTAAAAGGTATTTTATGTTTCAAATGAACATGATATTATTGTAAAACTTGGTGAAAACAGTTTCAGAGGATTTATTTTATTTTTCTCCCCAGTAATAACGAAAAAGAGGTTAGACATACGCTGGAAGAAAAGAAAAACCAGCTCAGAAATCTGCAGGATGCAAGAAGTGATAGATTAAAAAGGTTTGGTGCGTGGGTACCCACACTGCTAGAGAAGATAGAGGTGGCACATAGGCAGAATAGGTTTCACCAAAAACCCAGAGGACCATTGGGTAAGTATGCATTAGCAAATAAATTTACAGATATCTTTGAAATTTTTCCAAACTTTTGAAGTAAGAAATTAAAAAATACTGGTCTGTAATTGTGTGTGTGTGCGTGTGTGTGCGTGTGCGTGTGTGTGTGTGTGTTAAGGGTGGGGAGCTGTTATTTACTCTCACTGGGTCAAAATGGATCACAGTAGGATTTATTGTACCACCAGCGTAGGCGNTTGAGTGCTGCCTCAAGAATCTCATGCATTCCTATTGCTGCACAGACTATCACGATGAGAAAATCCTCAACCAAATCATGACACAAGTTTGCCCCAAAGGCAGGCCCAAACCTACTATCATAGTCAGCAGGTTCTTGGTGAGACTTTCAACTCGCTTTCTCACTTTCTCTCTCTATTTCTCTCCTTTAATCTCTCTGTCTTTATCTCATTGATTCATTTCATTTAATAATACATTCTTTAATGTATTTCCTCTAGTACCACTTTTTACTTAATTTGTGTAAAATCTAAAGCTTCATAAAGTGAGATTCTTGGCAATTGTTTACAGTGAATTATCATCATTTTATCTTGTATTCTAAAGCATGACTGAAGTGATGTGGCATTATTATCATTTTGTTACTTTAATTTGATTTCAGGAACATGTGCATGATGTTAGCCAGTTTGTAAGTACTTATAACAAGAAGAATTTAGTTATATCCTTAGATGCATATATTCTTAGATGCATTTTGCACATGTCTTTTTTGTAATACTTTGAGGTAAACCCCCTCTCCAGTAATAATTTCAAATTTAATACATATCTGTCACCTTTTTGAAAAGAAGATTAGGTTTTTATCCTTGTTTAGAGAGCTCGTAAGAATAACATTACATTTTGTTTTAAAACAATCTAAAAAATTGAAGACGTGGCAGTCAGAATTCGGCATGTCAACATGTCATATACAGTATAGAGTACATAAGCTGTACATTTGCAATATCATTCATTTTCAATGTCCCACCTATTGGTTCTACCCCTAAATGTCAATTAATAAGAGACATCGGTCGTAGTTGTCTATTTTTATTTCTTTTCTCTACAAATAATACATAAGTAATATAATTTGTAGCGGTCGCGCTGTGAGTTTCCCACTGTCCTGGACATGTTGGAGTTGGATGACCCTGTTGTAGCCAACGCTCTGGTGGATCAGGTCAGATACACTTTGTTTATTTATTTATTTAGAGGTAAATACACAGTAGAGATAAAAAAATCAAAATCTCTACAGTAAAACCAATATCTCTTAAGTCATCCTAGAATTTTACTGCTAGATGTTCACATAAGAATATAATGCCAAGTAACTATCTTGAATGTCTTCATTTGAGTTTATTATATGGAAATGTCATCCACATATATTTACACGTTGTGTCTTGCATAGAAATTGTTGTGTAAGATTTTAACTTTGTATACTTCAGCGAGGCATTGAGAATGTGATATTGATCAAAAATGCAGTCCAGGCTCGACAGTTCATGGGCAAGAATAAGGATCGTAATACAAAAGAAGTAAATAATTGCATGATATAAGTACTTAAAAAAATTATTGCCTTTGGGAGCTATTTGTTATTGGAAGCAGTGTTCGAAACTAATGCTGGACCGTCTGCCCAGGGTCGACAACTTTCAGAAGGGGCCGAGAACTTTTCCCACCTGTCAGATATTCAGTCCAGCTAGTTTTCAAGATAGCTGGACCTTCGGTCCAACAACTAATTTTCCTAAGTGGCAAACACTGATTGGAAGTGTCATAACATTGGGTTGTTGTCTCACAAAGAACGCCCTCTTTTGATGATAAAGCAAACTAGAAAACCTGCTTGTAAACTTAAAAGATTTTCTGTACCAAAAGGCTGCAGTTCTTTTTGTTTCTTTTTACTTGCTGTATCAATGATAAAAGATTGATATTGCCTATTTTTATTATGATTATTTTGTAAAATGTATAAAGAGAATCACTGAAATTTTTGTCACCTTTTATTTGGTGTCCTTTTCTTGAAAATATTTGTTAAAAGGCATAGTTGTCGGTTCCTAAGATGTCCTGTTATTGTTTCTGCAGGCATTTGTGGGCAATGGAGACCAGGTGTTCAGCTTTCCTACCTTCCGTTACTACGCCTCCAGCACTGACAAGGCATCCTTCCTCAAGGCAGATGTGGAGGAGGAAATAAGGTACCTTTTCTTTTAAAAAACATTTCCCTTGTTATTATCGAGGTTAAGGTTGCTTATATATCAATGTAATATAGTATGTAAGGGGTGACCTGTCATTTATAAGTATTACTTGACTACAAGAACAGCATACTCTGCATGCCCAGGCAAATGTGCTGAGAAATGTTTTTGAAGTTATTTCAGTTAAATAGTTAAATTATTCACAAGGGACCCCCACCCCACCTCCTCTCTTTTTCAGATCCTTAGAGGTGGAAATAGCTGGTATACAGCAAGAAGCTGAAAACTTAAGAAAGAAGAGAGCCTCCGTAGACTCTGACATCCAGTCTAACCAAATGGAGGAGAGGAGGACGCAGACGAAACTGATGAAAATATCAGAACGGATTGAGAAGTTGATGAGCGAGATCGACGAATTGAAGAGTATCGAGGACCCGGAACCTGTGGATGTGACCACACTGGTAAAGTAACCAGCTGAATGTCAGCTAGTTTTATGGTCCAAATCTCTAAGAATTAATTGGATATTTAATATATCTGTAAACATGTTATTCTAGATTTATCAATCAGATCATCAGTAAAGATTTTATTTTTTGATTTTTCAAGTTGATTATAGTGGATTTAAAATATGACCTGTCATACAGTAAATTTTGTGCAAGTCTTCTCCTTCAACAATCTACTGTAATCCAAAGAAATGTGCATCAAACATTGTACTTTCCAATTAAAAAAAAAAAACAAAAACAATTTAATAATCACAAAACTAATTAACATGTTCATTGATAGCTTAAATAAAGATAATTTATTGAGAAGGAATTGCATTCTGAGCGCACATTATATTATTCCAGGAAGAGGAAGTGGGGGGTTTTAACCAGCAGATCGAGGAGCTGCAGGGTAAGGTGAACGAGGTAAGGGACAAGCTGAAGGAGACCCAGGCAGAGGTTCAGAAGGCAGAGGAGGAGTTCAAGCAGATTGATGAGAAGATGAGGTCCATAGCTGATGGAGCTGAGCCACTCAAGGTAGCTTTTTTGTTTTGTTCACAAGTTTTAAACCAGTGTTTTTTCTTTAAGGCAAATTTGAAAGTTATCGTATCAGTTTTTAAAATGATGAGTTGATTTTTGGAAAGTTGTTTCACCAATTTTGAGCGAAGTTTTATTGTAAGTGGAATTGATAAGACATGAACCTAGAGAAAAGATTGAATTGTGATGCATTCCTTGCACTGGGTCTTATTCTCTTTCAGGAAGAACTTGCTCATGCTGAAACCCAGATAGAGGTGGCGAAGTCAAACAAAAAACATTACGATGGCAAGATGAAGGAACATGAGAAAAAATTGAGCGATATTAAAAAATTGGTTGAAGCTAAAAAGAAGGAAATAGAGGTAAAGTATCAGTAAAATTTATTTCTTTTGTTAGTTAATAAAAATGTGTCTAAAAATTTTAAAATATGAAAACAACCCAGCTTGGACCTAACAGATTGCAGATATTTTTTTAATTTAGTAAGTAACTCTTTGAAATGTTTTAATATTTTGACATTTATTATTAATGACTTTTTTCTTAATTCAGGAAAAATGTGCCAAGGCAGAGGCTGTCTGTCCAAGAAAAAACACCAGACGTACACAGAGAAACTTGGAAAGTGAAATCATTCAAATTGAAAAACAGCTGAAGGCGCAAGAGAAAAGGTACAAGGACATGTTCAGCTCCATGCGATAGAGCCTGTGTTCACAGCACCCTGTCATGTTAATACAGCTTTTTTCTCCTATGTATATATGTTGGATCTAAAATATTTTAAATAAGGATAGACCCACATCAGTTTAAAATATCTTAAATATTGCTGAAAATGCACTGCAAATCAATCTGTTTGGCTGAAGAGTATGGACATTTTAAAAACTTTTTTGCCCAGTAATCAGGTTTTCACTGCACAGTTTGAATGAATTTCTTTCAAATATTGCTCATATATCATTAATCACTCTTTTNCAGTATCGCCTCTCTGATCCTCTAGTTGTTATTGGAAGCAGTGTTCGAAATTAATGCTGGACTGCCTGCCCAGGGTTGACAACTTTCAGAAGGGGCTGATAACTTTTCCCGCCTGTCAGACATTCAGTCCAGCTACTTTTCAAGATTTTCTTAAGTGGCAAACACTGATGGAAATGTCATGACATTGGGTTGTTGTCACACAAAGAATGCCCTCTTTTGATGATAAAGCAAACTAGAAAACTTGCTTGTACACTTACAAGATTTTCTGTACCAAAAGGCTGCAGTTCTATTTGTTTCTTTTTATTTGCTGTATCAATGATAAAAGATTGATATTGCCTATTTTTATTATGATTATTTTTTAAAATGTATAAAGAGAATCACTGAAATTTTTGTCACCTTTTATTTGGTGTCCTTTTTTTGAAAATATTTCTTATTAGGCATAGTTGTCATTTCCTGTTTTTGTTCCTGCAGGCATTTGTGGGCAATGGTGACCAGGTGTTCAGTTTTCCTACCTTCCGTTACTACGCCTCCAGCACTGACAAGGCATCCTTCCTCAAGGCAGATGTGGAAGAAGAAATAAGGTACTTGTTCTTTTGAAAGAAAAAAAAAATTCTCTTGCATTTTCCTTGTTATCAAGGTTAAGATTGCTTATAGATCATATTGCATGTAAGGGGTGACCTGTCATTAATTAGTATTACTCTACGACTACAAGAACAGTATATTCTGCATGGGCAGGCAAATGTGCTGAGAAATGTTTTAAAAGTTATTTCAATTAAATTATTCACAAGGGACCCCCACCCCACCTCCTGTCTCTTTTTCAGATCCTTAGAGGTGGAAATAGGAGGTATACAGCAAGAAGCTGAAAACTTAAGAAAGAAGAGAGCCTCCGTAGACTCCGACATCCAGTCTAACCAAATGGAAGAGAGGAGGACGCAGACGAAACTGATGAAAATATCAGAACGCATTGAGAAGTTGATGAGCGAGATTGACGAATTGAAGAGTATCGAGGACCCGGAACCTGTGGATGTGACCACACTGGTTAAGTAACCAGCTGAATGTCAGCTAGTTTTATGGTCCAAATCTCTAAGAATTAATTGGATATTTAATATATCTGTAAACATGTTATTCTAGATTTATCAATCAGATCATCAGTAAAGATTTTATTTTTTGATTTTTCAAGTTGATTATAGTGGATTTAAAATATGACCTGTCATGCAGTAAATTTTGTGCAAGTCTTATCCTTCAACAATCTACTGTAATCCAAAGAAATGTGCATCAAACATTGTACTTTCCAATTAAAAAAACAAAAACAATTTAATAATCACGAAACTAATTAACATGTTCATTGATAGCTTAAATAAAGATAATTTATTGAGAAGGAATTGCATTCTGAGCACACATAATATTATTCCAGGAAGAGGAAGTGGGGGGTTTTAACCAGCAGATCGAGGAGCTGCAGGGTAAGGTGAACGAGGTAAGGGACAAGCTGAAGGAGACCCAGGCAGAGGTTCAGAAGGCAGAGGAGGAGTTCAAGCAGATTGATGAGAAGATGAGGTCCATAGCTGATGGAGCTGAGCCACTCAAGGTAGCTTTTTTGTTTTGTTCATAAGTTTTAAACCAGTGTTTTTTTCTTTAAGGCAAATTTGAAAGTTATTGTATCAGTTTTTAAAATGATGAGTTGATTTTTGGAAAGTTGTTTCACCAATTTTGAGTGAAGTTTTATTGTAAGTGGAATTGATAATACATGAACCTAGAGAAAAGATTGAATTGTGATGCATTCCTCGCACTGGGTCTTATTCTCTTTCAGGAAGAACTTGCTCATGCTGAAACCCAGATAGAGGTGGCGAAGTCAAACAAAAAACATTACGATGGCAAGATGAAGGAACATGAGAAAAAATTGAGCGATATTAAAAAATTGGTTGAAGCTAAAAAGAAGGAAATAGAGGTAAAGTATCAGTAAAATTTATTTCTTTTGTTAGTTAATAAAAATGTGTCTAAAAACTTTAAAATATGAAAACAACCCAGCTTGGACCTAACAGATTGCAGATATTTTTTAAATTTAGTAAGTGACTCTTTGAAATGTTTTAATATTTTGACATTTATTATTAATGACTTTTTTCTTAATTCAGGAAAAATGTGCCAAGGCAGAGGCTGTCTGTCCAAGAAAAAACACCAGACGTACACAGAGAAACTTGGAAAGTGAAATCATTCAAATTGAAAAACAGCTGAAGGCGCAAGAGAAAAGGTACAAGGACATGTTCAGCTCCATGCTATAGAGCCTGTGTTCACAGCACCCTGTCATGTCAATACAGCTTTTTTCTCCTATGTATATATGTTGGATCTAAAATAAGGATAGACCCACATCAGTTTAAAATATCTTAAATAAAAGTGCTGAAAATGCACTGCAAATCAATCTGTTTGGCTGAAGAGTATGGACATTTTAAAAACTTTTTTGCCCAGTAATCAGGTTTTCACTGCACAGTTTGAATGAATTTCTTTCAAATATTGCTCATGTATCATTAATCACTCTTTCAGCCATGGAAACAAAGAAGAAATTACACGCAAATACTATGAAACAAAAGATGCCTACCTAAAGATCAAAAAGGAAATAAAGCAGTTTGGAAATTTCTTGAAGGTATTAAATTAACACAAGAATTCCAGTTTAATACATTAATTACAATAGCTCACACTCAACATTTCCCCTTAATGGTAGGATATTATCCGGAAAAAGATCCTTTGTAAATTCAGAACTTGCCAGCATATGTTACTATTTGTAAAGAGGGATAGGCCTGTTAGTTTGGCAAGTAAGATTTGTTAACTATCGTAATTTTGGATCTCCTTGATTGGTTACTAGAAAATTTAAATTTAAAATTTAGAAAACAAAGTAGAGTAGATTTGTTAAATTTTGTTTAATGTTTTTTATGTCTGCAAAATTGCCGTTTTTGGACTGAGTGTCCAGTTGTTTAATGAGTTTTTTTTTTAATTGATTGATTTAATGACAAATACGAAATACTGAGATATATTTTCAGAAAAGATCAATATGGCTGGTGTTGTCCTTTTTTTTAAATTAATTTTTGGCTGAATGTTATAATTTCTTTAATTAAAAAAAAAATTCATGTTTTTTATACTGAGCTAGGATGAGGAACAAGTGCTAAATGCAGCCAATAGGTTAAAGTTGGTAACAGTGTATTTTTTTTATTTTTTAGAAACTTGAAATAACCATGGAAATTCGGCAAGAGATTTATAAAAAATTAAGAAGCAGTTTGGCATATAGAACTAAAATGAACTTCATAAACACTTTGAGAAGTAGATTTTTCGTGGGGAGGCTTGTGTTTAGACACAACACCCAAACACTGAATATGGAAGTAAGTTATGGAGTACAAGAAGTCTCAATTTGGGTATGAGGCTTGGTTGAGGCATGCCATATTAGAGACCATTCCCAGACCCTATCGTATTAACTATGGATCGATCCATCTCTGAGGGGATTCTCAACTTCAGTGGCTTAGATGTCTGTCATGCCTACTGTTAGGGGGTAATTAATTATTGTTTAGCTGCTTCAGTAGGCGTGCCAGACATCTGGGCCTCTTAAGCTGAAAGCAATTTAGTTAGAATCTCCTTGGAGATAGATAGGTCCTGTTAGATCGATCTAGGTATGGGAACCCAGTCTTAGAGACTTTGCGTAGTTCCTATGAACAGCCACTGACTGCCACCTACTTCCTTTTCATTAATTGGTCTAGGTTGGGATTAAAACTGGTTTACAAAGAAAAGGGTGCTACGACTCATTTCTCTTGCAAATATGTAGCCAATGGATACTATCAGTTTATTTCAGCCTAAAAATTACTTTTTGCCAATATCTTTAATCTAAAAAAAAAGATTAATTTGTAAGAATAAAAATGATTTGATAAACAGTTTTGACGCGATGCTTTTAAAAGAGGGGGTCAGCAGCAGTCGGTGGTTTTCTTTGGCTATTTGCCCTGTTCTGCATTGTGTTTGTGATAATTTTTTTATTATTATTATTGTTATTAGCTACTACAGGATGTCATGGGGACCCGTCAACATCAGTTTATAGAGTTTCGCAAAATGATTGCTTTGAGAGCCAAATACTATTTCATCGTGATGTTGAGCAATCGAAGTTATGTTGGAAAGATGACATTTAATCACAAAAAGGAAATTCTCGAGCTGTCTGTAAGTGATGAAAAAGTTGTCTCTGAGAGACTAGAATACTGATACTACAGCCATTGTCTCTATATTTGCTAGATTGCTTGCCTGCTTGCTTGAAGTAGTTTGCCCTATTAAGTCTACCAAACCATTCCCTGGGATTTGCATGTCATTGAGGCCATTCAAAATGAGAAGAGCCGATTATTAGCTAGGCCATGACCTAAATGTGGCAGACCTACATGAAAGGAAGAGCGCTTAATCCTGTAATGGTCTCTCTGCCTCTCACACGCCTCCCCACGTGTCGTCCCTGAAGGGACACTGTAATTAAATCTCGACTTGATTCAACCGGTCGAGGGACGACGCGTGGGAGCCATGTGAGAGGCAGAGAGACCATTACAGGATTGAGCGGTCTTCCTTTCACGTAGGTCTGCCATATTTAGGTCATGGCCTAGCTAGCACTCAGATCTTCTCTTTCTGAATGGCCTCTTTAACTAAATAATCACTTGGGCTTTGCTGAAAGTACAAGGTAATTCTAAAGATAGCCTAGAGCCTTATAGATTTTTTTTTTTGTCCTTATATCACAAATTTTGCTTTATAACCCTCTGTTAGTAAATTTATTGCCTTATCACACTTGCATGGGTGACAGTAGAAGCAATGGCTGTAGTTTTTTTCTAGGGTGTTTGACTGTTTTTTTTTAAGCATAATACTAACCCTTTCTAATATACATGAAAATGCTTTACTGCTATTATTAGCATTGTTAATTTTTAAAATTTTGGTTGCTTTGTTTGTTTAGTTTGAAGGGTCTTCAGAAAGATTCAGTGACAATATTGTTCATATCATGCTATGTATTTGTGCATACTATAGTGTCATCTTTTTGTTTGATTTATACAATTTGATATATAAAAATGAATGTATTCATCTTATATATGTAGCTTCCTGTCCTTGTGTGTAAGAACAGTCAAACACCCAAAGCATCCTAATATGACATTCATGTGTTGTGACTTGTGTGCCTTTACTTTATCTTTTCTAATGTAGGATCTGGTGCAGGTGGCCTTTAGAGCTTCAATTACTCTTTGATGTTATGGAATAATATTAATCTTGTTAGTTTGACAGATTTTTAACTAAAATATATGTGTTAGAAACTGCTATAAAATATCTTGTATCAAGGTGTAATTTTAAGGTACTTTATTCTTAACAGAAAAAATCAACATATTATATAACTGGCATCCTTTTGGTGTTAAAAAGTTGTAAGTATATATTTTAAGAAACATACCAGATGTGATATTATCAGTTTTTAGAAAAGAGATTGAAGTAGGTTCATCTTGCAGGTTCAGCCATCCAACCAGTCAGCAGAGGGCGCCAAAGACATGAGGGCTCTGTCTGGGGGTGAAAGGTCATTCTCTACCGTCTGCTTCATCTTAGCATTATGGGATGCCATGGAATCTCCTTTCAGGTGCATGGATGAGTTTGATGTCTACATGGTAAGTAATGGACACAGTATGAGTTACAGAGGTCTGTGACAACCAAGAGGGCAAAGTATGTAGTACTCCAGATGCGGGTAACAAAAGGATATCTGTTGCCATGAATGTTGATGTTGGCTGTTATGGCAATGACTCATAATTTCTGTTGGAAAAATTGTGAATTTTACAGATGCTGTATTTTTTAAAAAGTCATTTTGAGTGGAAGCAAGAAAATTCAAAAGTTGCCTACACAACAAATGCCATATAAAAATGTAATATTAATGATCCTATAATAATGGAGCTGAAAGATTGATAATTTCTTGCCCATAGAAAAGATGGGTCATTACAGTAACTGTAGTTTGCCTTAACTGACCACTGAAATTTGAACTTCAGGACATGGTGAACAGAAGGATATCTATGGACATGTTGATGGAAGTAGCCAAGAACCAGAAGACTCGCCAGTTCATATTTCTGACACCACAGAACATGAGGTGATAGTACATGTTTTTAGCAATAGTAATAATCAGTTTATTGAGCCCTTAATGGTGCATTCTCAAACCTCTTCATTTATTTCATAGAATACAAGAAGAGTATGAGATTATTTAAGTATTACATGTGATGATTATCTTACAAATGTTTCTATATCACATTGCAGTGATGGGCTCAGTTATTGTTTACCCACTGTTTGATGGAAATCTGGGTTGTAATTCTTGTGAACCACTGTTCCTGGAGTTATAGTGCTGTCATGTGGCTAAATACGCTTTTACGTGGAATATTTGTCAAATGTCTATAACTTACAATTCATTTTATGTACCTTGGCCCTGTAATTCAGACCTCTTTGTTAATTACTTATTGTTATTAATAATTTCAGCAACCTACAGCCCAGTCCCACCCTGAAGATCTTTAAGATGCCCGACCCGCAGAGAGGATCAGGGGTGATAGAAACCACCAGAGAACGGGAAGAGGAGCAAGAGGCTATGGCAACTTGAGGAACAAATCACAAATTTCTCCCAGTTGACTGCAATGTTGAATGGCAGAGATATCTCCCACAATTTCTTTGCAATGTTTTCTGGATTCTGTGGCATAGTCCTTGATCAAGTTTTCATAATTTCCCCTGGTGGGGTTGGAGCTAATGTTCAACCTTAATTACACCTGGGTGACACGTGGTAACAGCTCTCCAGTTAACAGACACCAAGATGAGACTAACTCCAACACAAGAAGGTCCTGACCTTGATAACTTAGTAAAATGCATATTTTGATTTTATTTTCATAATATGCTGGGTCTGGAGGGCAATAGTTTGTTTAAAGTTGTCAGATCACTTGGTGACTCATTGTGGCAGTACAGGGGACTGTCATCTAAATGGGAAATTGTGGCTGTCAGTCAGCTTCTGTGGTGACACTGTGTAATAATGACACTGGACATTCTTTGGTGCAGCATGTAGTCCAAATGGCAAATGTAGCACTCATTTTGCAAACGGGGAAATTTTGAATTAAATTTTGCGTGGTTAAACAGTTAAAAGGACAACTTTTGTCTTGTGAAAAGCAAACTAATTCAGTCTTAAACATCAACACTTTGCCATTTTGTAAGTGCTTATACTGGTGCTAAATGATTCAGAGGGTGAGATTTAGACTAGCGAAGATAGATGTCTTCATCTAGAATGTTATTACAAGTAGGATTTTTATAACAAAATTGTTAAAGATGTTTAGATCCTTGCTTTTAGTTATTTTGTTGATGCTTTACCTAGATATTATCTAGACTTGCTCACAACTGAACCATTAACAGGATTTCAAAAAGTAAGGAGCTTAACATCACATCAAGCACATTCTTTAGTATAGCTGCTAACTGATCCAGTGATACTATTTAAGTTTATTTTGTTTGTGACATAAGAGATGGTAGATTGTTAATAAACAATAAGAATTACAAGATTAGTGAAAATATGCCATATTAGATCAATGTACATTTCATGTATTGAATGTTAGTATCATTTACAATTTTATTTCTGTTTGTAGTTATATTTGTAGTTTTTGTTACATGTTATGATTTAAATCTTTTGGGAAAATGAGAAACTCAAACATTTTCATTTATTTTTCTTGATCGTTTGATTATATTTGATTTGTTACACACACACATAAATACACACACGTGCATGCTCACATAAAAACGTGGAAAAAAATTTCCCCACCCAGTTTCGATTCATCATTATATTTATACATATGGAAATCCTGTAGTTTCACAGTACATGTTCTATAGTGGATGAATATTGTGGAGAGCCAAGTAATTTTTGCTTGTGTCCTGTTTCTTGTGAAAGGCTTACTTGAACAATGAACATGTAAGGATTAAAAATGCTAGCATAATAAAGATATTCTACTGTAAAAGTACATCAATCAATTAATTGCATGATTTCTAGCTGGAACTCGATTTTTTTTTCGTTTAAGGCAAATTACTTTTTATCACATATGGTGGATTAAACAAAAAAATGTGCCACCAGTATACAGTTTAAGGTAACGGTACCTTCTTTATTACATTTTTATATACAGACTTGTATATTCTCATCGGTCGGTCTGTCCTTGTCGTGGCTGTCACTGTCCGACACGTGTTGCCCCATAATTGCCAAACAATATTTCTGTTTTACTTTAAATTTACTGAGTGGCTTTGTTTTGGTTAAGGGGCAGATTGCTGTCGAAAATCGGCATGATCGGTTTACATTTACAGAGGTTTTTTTTTTTTTTTTTTTTTTGAAATTTTCATTTTTTCACACACCATTTTACAATCCAAGGAACTGAATCGCTATTTTTTCAATCTCCATGTTACCTGTAGTGCATAATGTAAGACGATGAGACTGCTGTTTTAAAGCGTTATGTAACAGTGCATCAAAATTTGACTAAACGTTATTTTTGTGCACTTTTTAAACAAAAACGTATGTTATCCTTATTTCTGAAGAGATTATTGCAGAGCCATCTATGAAGGCCCACGTGGTCTGATGGCAAGCACAGATTTCAGAATAATTCCGACAACTACTGTTTGGTGGTAAAATGGAAATTATTATATTTCTTTGAATTGATTATTCTGTTTATATTGTGAAATATGAATCTCATAGGAACAATTGCTATCCCTTTAGAAATCTAACATTGGTCAAAAATGTTGTCCCACCCCATTTCCATGTACTTTTATTTACAAATGATCACCTCACAGCTCTAAATTGTTAGAAATAGTGCTTTTTATTACATATATCGTGTCTAACATGATTAATGGTTAAAAAAAATACAAAGTAGTGGTGAAAATATACACATTTTATACCATTTAGTAAAATTTATAAGAGGTACCCTCTCAAATCCAATGTTTCACTGTGACTTTTACAGATCTAGAGAAATGTCTATTAAACTGAAAAGACGCTATCAAATGTCACCAAATTCCCACACAATTACCATTAGGGTGTGCTCGTTAAAGGTCACGTGCCTAACATCGTGTGCGTCTACCGCGTACTACAATTATCTCCTGTAGACGGCGAGACAAGCCTTCAACATGGGAACAATTCTGTGGGATATTGTCCCCTTCTTCTTTAACACTATTTCTAACAATTTACAGCTGTGAAGTGATCATTTGTAAATAAAAGCACATGGAAATGGGGGTGGGGCAACCTTTTTGACCAATGTTGTAGAAATACCAGCTTCTTTGGATTATTTCCCAATATTTGCACATACATTTCCTACTTAATTGCTGTTCTTTACGTCAAATTTACCACCAGAACATTGAAGAAGGTGCAGTTTAAAGCGTTTTTTCTGCTTCCCAAGGGACTATTGTTATTTATTTATTTATTATTTTTTTTTTTTGGTGGGGGGGGGGGCATGTTGATTTTATTTGTGCTGTGTATAAAACTGGTGCTGATAACTTAATGGTAGACGTTAGATCCTACAGAGTAAGTTTTCTCGCTTCACATGTTTTTAAGTCATGTTATAATTAAGTCATAATGATGCATCAATCATCGTCAGGGATTTTCATCAGAACAGAAGGACTAGGGACCGAAAGCCTGGATAGGATATTACATCTCTTTAGTAGATGTACATAGATGCGGCATTATGATAACTTCTTTATTTCTTAAAAAATCTATACAGTGATTTAATATAAGGCTTCATATATGTCCTTAATAACAAACTGACGAAGGCAAAGACCTAGCCTCTTTGGTAGAGGTAATGATGGTTAGATATTTAAGTACTGGTATATGCACAAAATGAAAGAAAATGAAATTATAAAAAAGATTAAAAGAGAACGAGAAGCAAAAGATTGGAGCTACATGCATCAGTGAAGACCTAAAGAATGTACTTCAGTCCCACCGCGTCTGAGCCAGTGCACAATAATCAAACACGAAATAAAGTCATTAATCAAAGTGCCCTCCGGCTAACCCTAAATACCTGGCAATATCCTTCAAGGCCCGTTGCGTCTCCCCCGTAATAAGCCTACTGGTAGTTAAGTGTAATTTTTCCAAGTTGTGTACCAAACCGGTATTTAGGCCTACTTGCTACAAGGTTTCACCTTTCACATAATCTGCTTTTTATTTTAAAAAATCTTGAAAAAAGTCATCAGTGCTGTTTTGGACATGCTTGCTCGCAAACAACAATTCTCTTTTTATTGGGTAAATGCTTCTGCTGGTAAAGTATAGATATAAAGTGTATCCTTTGATCAACTCACACCCGAACTGCTAAAACATGTTGTCAGTTAATGATAACGGTACCTCTAAAGTGCTCGAATTTCAAACCAATATTAAATATACCTGGCATTGTGTTGCATGGGGCCGTGCGATCCATTAATATATATATATATATATATATATATATATATATATATATATATATATATATATATATATATTTGGGCGTTGTCAGAACATGGCGGTGCGCAGCAGATTGTGAAGGATGTCTCTTTTTCAGAGAGTGAGCAACATTTGATCTACACTTTAAAGCGGCCGGTGTCACGAAACTGAGGTTCCGTATAATAAAAAGTCTGCCCTCTATATAGTTATAATGGTTAGGGTTAGGGCGAGGCTTACCTGTACAAATGAACAGGAAGCTGAGTCTCTAGCATGAGAGACTCGCTGTCACGTTACGCAGGATATATGAGTGATATAGTCTAATCGCCATGCAAGTGCTATTTATGTTCAGACGTCTTCGACGACGACGACGACGACGATATCCAATGACCCATTGACAAATCAACAAAATGAGGACCGTTGAAGGTCTGTTATGTGACAGACAAGTACAGTATATTGTCCAAACACTGGAAGTTAACAGGTGGATCAACTGTAGCGTTTAGAGCACAGCTTTAAATCTTATCCCAAAGCTTTGCACATGGAAATATAAACATGTAGCCATTGCATGGGTTGGGGTGTTTCTTTGTAATTGTTTTAAACTACCACACGGATCATGCAGAAAAAACTGAACTAACAACCGTCCTTGTCGTGGGAGCAACATGATTGTAAGAAGGCTCGCTAGGAAAGCAGAAGTATTGTTTAAAACTTCATGTCGTTTTATTTTACGTTTTCAATTTACTGGAAACTGAAGTTCAACAACAACAACCGAAGTAAACAAATCAGACACATCAACCGCTGGATTATTAAATTTTCCTGTTCACTTCTGACAATTTCTCCATAAAAATCAAATTACAAGGTTTTGATGTGGATCCACATACCAAGCCTTGATTGACAATAAAATGGAAAAAGACGTGGAACAAGAAGACGTGTTCAGACAATGGGGTGCAAGTACTGGGACTTTAAGCAGGAGGATCATTTGGGCCAGTGCTAGTATGCGAAACAAATACGAAAAAAGTTTAGAAGAGGGGCAAATTGATTTGGAAACAAGTAAAATTCTATTTCTGGGAGATTCTGGTGTAGGAAAGACATCCCTGCAACGCTATTTCAGAGAAAAGAGGTTCTTAAAAAATTGCAATAGTACTCGAGGAAATGAAAAACACCACGTGGAAACTGCCGCTGTAACGGATACTTGGGAAGATGTTAAGGATCCTGAAAACGAACAGCAATATGCAGCTAGTTACGCAGCAGTAAAAATGACCGATAATTCTGCTTCTCAAGCAGTTGATCACGGATCATCGTTTGATCAACATTTTAAACTTGTATTTGGATTGCTTTGCGTGTGCGTTGCTTTTGCTTTCTTTCCCATCGGGATATGTTCATTGAAAATCATAGGATGCCTCTTTTCTACGCTATTTTTTTCTGGCAACCTGCCCATGGGTATAAGATATGGCGAAGGCACAGCTCTCAGTGTATTTTACAGATATGCCTGTATCGAAATCCTATACGTTGACATCAATATGCAACAGAGAATAGACAACCCAGACTTGTTATTGGAATTCCAACTTGCTGTTCTTTGTTGCGGGTTGGTGGTAGGTTTTGTGTTAGGATTTGGGTGTAGGGCAGGAACCTCATTGGTTTTCAGCTTTGTCTGCCTCAAAAGCCAAGGTAGTATTCTTGAATTTTTCTCAATTGTTTTTGATATGCTCTGTGAATGGTGCCTTGACTTTAAACATGCACCAACTGTATTCCTGATTGTTTGCCTAACTTTGTTTTCATGCCATGCGTTTCGTGCCAAATTGTACCAAGAGAAACGAAACATCAAGCAAATAATAATGAACGTTTGTTTCCAAGTCATCGTTTCAAACATTGGGATTGCCCTCTTATACCAGTTTATTACAAAAGGAATATATGTAAAGATGGACAGCCACGAGCGAGTGGTACTTGCCATTTTAACGTGGACAGGGGCTGCTGTTGGCGTCTACATATGCAAAAACACGTCACCAAACCTGCTGCGGAGACGCTTTTACATTGGGTTGCCCGTTTACGTAATAGCAATAACCGCGTGCTCATATGTTTTCCATCGTCTTATATTATGGCAAATGGAAAAGAAATTAAATCATTATCTCATTATCTTCTTGGCTTGTTCTTCAAGTGCTATGCTAGAATACACAGCAATGATGGTTATTGGTCGGTCTCTGGCAAAAGTTTACGATATACCTTTCTATACACGAAGAGCACTTGGGTTTATTCTAGGTGTCGCAATGATATATTTAATGGACTGGACGGTCGCTATTCCTCCTGGAGAATTTATTTTAGATCAGTTGTTGTCTGTTGGTATTGTTCTTGCATTCGAGATTTGGGGCTTTTGGCAGGTGAAACAAGCAATGACAACGGGTATTGATTTAACCAAAATTAGACTGGCAAAATCAAGATATGAGAATGGAGTTTCAGGCATGCGTATTAAGTTTGTGTTAATTGACTGTGGAGGGCAAGAAGAATATCATTATTTCCATCATTTATTCATACCAAAGGACGCTGTTTACATTATTGTATTTAATTT